CTCCCCATCTCACAGAAAAGTGACTGTGGGCAACTTACAACAATCCAGTAAAAACAACACATACATAAGCAATCAGTATAAAAAAATGTAAAAATCAATATTCAAAGATAAATATGATAAGAAACAAATATACAAACCCTAGGCAAGAGAGAATAAGAATAGCTAACTCAGCAGTGGAGCCATCTAAGCATGTCTCCAGTTCCCTGGGAGCCCCAGGCCTTGTGATATAACCAGGTCTTGAGGGACCTCCGGAAGGTCAAAAGGGATGGAGCTAACCTAATATCAGGGTGAAGAACGTTCCACCAAATGCAGGTCCCTAGTCAATGGTACACTCAGCATGCCTTCTCTGCTAGATCTGATGGGGCGGGCTGATATAATCAGGGAGATGCGGTCCCTCAGATAACCCAGTCCCATGCCTTGAAGGGCTTTAAAGGTTAAAACCAGCACCTTGAATTGGACCCAGAAGCAAATTGGTAGCCAACACAGCTTGCAGAGCAGAGGTGTAACATATGCTGTTCTAGGAGCACACATAACTGCCTGTGCTGCTGCATTCTGCACCAGCTAAACCTTCTGAATACTCTTCAAGGGCAGCCTCATGTAGAGCACATTACGGTACTCCAATCTGGAGGTGACTAGGGTATGAGTGACTGTAAGCATGGCCTGCTGGTCCAGGAACAGGCACAACTAGCGCACAAAATGAAGCTGTGCAAAGGCCCTCCTAGCCACCACTGTCACCTGCTTCTCGAGCAGGAGTCATGAGTCTAGGAGGACCTCCAGATTGCGCACTGGGTCTGTCTGGGGTAGTACTACCCCACTGAGCACCAAAGATGGCATAGTCCTGGAACCAGTGGGCCCCAAAACCCAGAGCCACTCAGTCTTGCCAGGGTTCAGCTGAAGCCTGTTGTTCCCCATCCAGACCCTCACAGCCTCCAGGCACCAGGATAAGATGTTCACGGCATCACTTAATTCACCAGGGGTAGAGGATATATAATTGGGTATCAACACCATACTGATGATACCTCACCCCATGGCAACAGATGAGCTCACCCAGCAGTCCCATGTAGATGTTAAAAAGGAGAGGAGAAGGCACCGAACCCTGTGCCACCCCACATAATAAGGGCTAAGGGCGGGACCTCTCCTCTCTAATCAACACTGGCTGGAATTGGCCCTGAAGGAAGGAGGCGAACCAGCACAACACTGTGCCACCTACTCCTAATCCTCTGAGCTGATCCAGAAGCATACCATGGTTGATGGTATTGAAAGCGACCAAGAGGTCAAGTAGGGCAAGGATGAAAGCATAGCCCCATCCCACACACGCCAGAGATCATCCAAAAGTGCAACCAATGCTGTTTCCATCCCATACCTGGCTCTGAATCCTGTCTGAAAAGAATCCAGATAATTCACTTCCTCCAAGGCAATCTGAAGCTGTTGCACAACCACCTTCTCCACCATCTTCCCCAAGAAAGGAAGGTGAGATACTGGACGAAAATTGTCTAGTATGGTGGGGTCAAGCAATGGCTTCTTGAGGAGGGGGCAGAGCAAGGCCTCTTTAAGAGGTAGAGGAACTACCCCTCACTCAAGGAGGAATTAACCATTGCTCGAACCCACTCACATGATTAACCCACTAAACTCTGGGCTGCTTTAACCAGGAGGCATGGATCTAAAGAGCAGGTGGCCGAGGTCACAGACCTGAGAACTCTGTCCACTTCCTCAGGCCCAAAAGGATCAAACCATTCCCAGATAACTGGGTAAGACTCCTCCCCAGGCATCTTCCCTGGACCTATAGCAAAGCCAGCTCCAACTGGGAATGAATCCAAACAACTTTATCTGACAGATGCTGTGCAAAATCTTCCACATGCTTCTGTAAGAGGTTCCCTGTGCCTCCTTTAGCCAAGAGTTTGTGTCACCCAAAACAGGGCTGCAGGGTGGCAATCTGTGGATGCAACAAGGGTGGAGAAGTACTGATGCTTCATAGAAATCAGGTCACGATCTGACCATGACAAGGGAGACACCAAAGCTCTCCCAATTCCAGATCACATTGCCACCAGATCTGGAATTTGACCACTGTCTGGAGTCAAGCCCTGGATGACCTGGGATAGGCCCATGGCTGACACTAAAGCCATGAACTCCCAAGCCACCTCAGTCCTCATTCCTAGGGAAGGCAGATTGAAGTCCCTCAGGACCATAAGTCTGGGGAACTCCACTGCCAACCCCAAAATGGAGTCAAGGAGCTCAGGCAGGGAGGCTTGTACAACAGCAACAATCCCAACTGATCCCTAGAGCCAAGCTTAATGAACAGGGTCTCACACCTGGTGACCTGTGGAGCAGTGTTCCTGAAAGCTGTAAGAGACTCCCTTATATTATGTCCTTATAGCTCCCATACTGATCCCCCCAGCTAACCCCGTGTTTTAAACTCCAGCTCTTCAGCAGCACATCCCTGGCCACATCTCATCCACACAAATCTGGATGACTACAAGATGGCAGTCAAGAGATATAAAAATCCTAATTCTTTGCTTCCATCTAGTGGTTAGTGGTTGACCTATAGTTTCAAGGATTTGATGGTACAAGGAAAGAGAAAGAAGAAAAAGAATGCAGTGCATGAAATAACCAGAGCATTGTGCATGTCAATTGAAGGAGGCTTTTCATGTGCTGGATGACATTGGGTAGGGTTGGAATTTCAGCCAAGGGGGCCATCAATCATAAACTTAGAATGTTGGGCATTAAATCTGTACAGGCAGCAATGCAATGCAGTCCCAGGAGCATCATGCTGGGGGGTAGCAAGATTGGAGGTGGCGTGATTTCCTATCAACTCCAGGATGCAAGGCAGCTGTGTGGAAGTGGCCTAGGTACTAGAAGGGCTCTTTTGAAGTTCTAATGTTCTACATTGGCTCTCCTACTTTCCACAAACAACTTAAAACTTCTAGTCCTCAATTTTTTAATGTGCTGTATCCTTATCCATCTGGTTCCTTCTCCTCCTTTCTGTTCTTTCTTTATTACCACATTTGCATAGCACCTTAGTCACCTCATTTACAGGTAGTCCTCATTTAGCGACTGCCTCATTTAGTGACCATCTGCAGTCACAACAGTGATGAAAAAATAACTTCATGACCAATCCTCACATTTATGACCTTCACAGGTCTGTAAAGCAAAGGAAAGCTGAAGTAAGACCATAAGTATAGTTGTGGTTTCACTTAGTGACCACTTTGCTTAATGACCAAGTTGCCAGTCCCAATTGTGGTTGCAAATGAGGACTACCTGTAATTAATTCATAAACTAAATTTGAAGCATACAATTAAAAGCCCAATAATTAAATGTTCTTTCTACCCCATGTGCCCTCATCTATTATACAGCTGTTACACGCGAATCATAAAACAGTCAAAATATTGCTTTGGTAAACATTAATTGGCTTAGATGTAGAAGAAAACTAAGGTGTGGAATGAGATCATAAGCAGGGAAAGTTTATTCACATAGTGTAGTATCAAATCATGATTACATGTTCCAGACACAGAGTGAAATCCAACATCGTATGCATAAACCATACTTCTGTAACTGGTTCTTTTTTCCTTCCTTCTCTTTCCAGCTCTTCTACTCACAAAATATGCCCTGGAGGCTCTCTCCTAACCACTGAAACAACTTTGGAAGGTGTCAGTGGGGCTATAGATGAGGGTAGGTTGTTCTACTTACAATTTGATGACGAGAAGCAGTTTGGCCAATAGATAAACATTGCTGCTCTTCATCCAGAAACCACATAACTTACTTCAGAAATATAAGGTATGCATGATATATTTAAAGAAGTTACCTTTTCTGCTATCATAAAATTATAGCGGAGTGATTCTCGGGTACAAATAGCTCCCAGTAAAAAAACAAAAACAATGTACAAAAACCACCTGCAAAGAAATAAAAAAAGAATAGTCTCAGCTTTTTAAAAAATAGCTTTTAATACAGTAGCAGAAACTGGTTCAGTAAGCACTAGGTTTTCTTTGCCCTCAAAATATTTTAATCACTTCAGGTACAATATCATGCTGTAGATGCGACTGAAAGAGACACAAGTTTGGATGCAAAAGATGCAAACATCTTTTCGATCTCACTCTCCAAGAAGGGAAAGAGGGGTCCAACTTTGAAAGGGCAGATCCAAAGCTGGGAATCTTCTCCCAAATGTAACTGTAACTTTAGGAAAATACATTGTAACATACGTTCTGGTACCTAGATTTCCACTGTAGAGGAGCCATTGATGTTACAACATGGGATCATTGAAGAAAAGGGCTCGGTATACCTTTTAATGGGCAGGTACAGGAACATCAATGGTTCCTCTAAAGTTGAAATCTAACTCCTAGAATAGATTCTCAACTTGTCAGTCTGCATCTATTTTGCTAATTCATTTCATAATTTATAACAAAAATGATGCATAGGAATTGAATTCAAATTAAATTGAATCCTAGTGATATGTGATTAATAATTCTTGTGCTTTTTTTAAAATTGTTCCTCAGAACAATTAAATCAGAGTCAGAGAGCTAAGGAAGCTGTTTGCAGTCATCTGTTATCATATTATTGTGATGGAGATAATTCATCGCCCTGTATGTACCTGATGCTTGACTGAGCAGCCTAAACAAAAAGACAGGATATGCCCCCCCTCCAAAAGATGCAATATAAAAGTTGGAGTACTGAAAACAACCAAAAAAAAAGAGGGAGGAAAGGAAAAGGAACAAGAATGAGGGAACAGTAGGAGGAAATGTATTCAGGCAAGTGGTTTTACACATTTTGTGACAACTGGGAATGATGATGAAGAGTCAAATCCTTATTTAAAAATGTAGATACCTAATAAGTAGTTTAAAGGAGAGGGGTGACCCAATGTAATGAGAGGGATTCCTACAGGTTTGTTTCCCTTTTTCTTTTCCTTGTTGAAACCCCCTGAAATCATGTTCTGGCTTATGAGTCTAATATGATTAAGGCTGATAATCTTCTCTACGTGCTCACGCACAGCATACCATTCAGCAGTTGGGTCTACCTTCTCCAAGCCAACAAAGTATTAGATCCTGATGTTGAACTATTGTGCTAGGAAGTAGCTATCCAGCAAGACACCACTCCCAGGAATGTAGTCAAGACTTTAAGTAGTGTTTCACAGTCTCTGGCTACCAAGGAAATAATTCCCCTGTAAATTAAAATGAAAAAACATCATATGGACATCAAGGTATCCCATGGGTTATGAATCCACAGACAAGGGGCTTGCTTTATTTAAGAATTCTTCCTAAATATCAGTTTGCTGTAAAATGTACCTAGGGATTTGTAGGGAGTATAAGGAAAGACTTAGTCCCCTCCTTTCCTCAGAATTGTTGATGCTCATGGGATATTCCCTACTAGGAAGGAGAGTGAACTATTTATTTATGGTTACTGATCCTTATCAGTCCTAAAATCATTCTGGAAAGGTATATGTTCCCTAAATCTGGAAAAGAGAAAAAGAAGGGAGGATATCAACTAATTTATCTCTTTCTACTGTGTCCAGAGCAGAAAGTGTCCCAGAGTCACTTTATGTGAGATGGGTGGCTATATAAATACGGTAAATAAATAAATAAATAAATAAATAAAAGTGACCAGGGATAAATAGCTGTGTGCCTGCCAACTCTGACACAGAAGGAAGGAAGGAAGGAAGGAAGGAAGGAAGGAAGGAAGGAAGGAAGGAAGGAAG